TGTATATAGGAACAAAGTGATAGTCTCATAAGAATTTTCACGAGTAGTTTGGCATACAACTTGTTCATTGAAAAGGGAGTGCGCTGAAATTTCGTATGAAATATTTTTAAATATGCGCGATTCCATAGGTTCGTTACGCCAGCATCAATTTGAAAATATCAACATAGTGCGATACAAAAATATAAGTTAATGTAGGTTGCTGTAAATGTTCAAAGCAAATTGTATCATATTTAATAAGCACGTTATAAACAATCAAAGTGTAGTTACAATTTCTGCGACACCCTGTACAACATCTTTTCTTACTTCTAACGCGTCGAGTGTCATGTTGGTTTCTTTTTCAACGAAACATAGTTTCCAAAGAATTTACCACAAGTTTCTGAAATACGTATACAGTAGACTACCGTACAACGCGTTAGAGATATTGCGATTAATATTTCCTTGTGACGCGACTTCTCGTACAACGCATCTAGAACTTTCACCTTCTCGAGAAAAATAATTTCTCATGAAATACTGTTAATAAAACATTCGGGCAAGAATAACAGACGAGAACGTTGACAATTGAGGGAATGCAGTAACGAGGTAGGTCCATCTTTGTATGGTTTTTTGGTTATAAATGGATCTGCCTCCTGATTAATGCACATCCCTCAATTCTACACGACTATCATTAAATAACATTAACGTCAATATTGATATTTTTATAGTCCAAGCACATTCTCCCATTAGATTCGTGTGTTGTTCGTTATATTATAAAATTTATACAGAATTTTGTTCCAAAGCATGAAATTATATCATTAAAATAAATGAAGTAGAAAGTAGCAACTCGTTTTCAATTATTTGATCCAGCCCTTGATTTCGAGACAGAATTATAATTTGGCTCCTAAGCAACCCTAAAAGATATCCCCTGCTCGCGTTATTGCGTGAAAAATTCTCGTACACGAAAGTCTACCGTATTTCTTTAAAAAGTGATATTTCTAAATTTGTTTACCAACGAGATATCAGTGATCGCTGATACTCTCAACGTGAATTAGGAAATAAATACTCGAAAGTTCCTTACTCGTAAAAAATGGTCGATGGATCTTCGTATGATATCGTAAAAGATCATCCGAGACACTTATTCAAACTCGCTTAACACGACAGTCGACGCGTTAAACGTCGGCGACGTTTATTCACAATTTATAGTTCTACACTAATTCCATTCTCCTTCCCCGTTTCATCTACGTTTCCCTTCTCTCCTCGGTTTAATCAAGAATCTCTCGAATCGCGAGGTTACTCCTCGAACGTAAAACACTAACTTCTACAAGTGTTCTCGACACTACCACTTAACCCGATGCCAAGACCATCGTTGAGAACGATTCGAGCATAGAACCTCGTGATGTACCCTCGTTAGATGATTCCTATAATATCGAAGTAATCGTTTTGGAAGTCTGCTTCGACGAATTTCTAATCACAGGATGATACATTATCGACGCACTTCATGATCACCGAAAGATACCGAACGCCATAGTTCCCAGAGGATAGTCAGCGTGCACACGACGTTAATTTTCTTAATAACTGGAAGCTTGTCTCGAAGACTGTTCTGTGGTATTCGCATCGCCGTGGCGCGGCATTTCCACCGAGAATCGATTCGATCATCGACGGTGACGAATACCAGCGGGCTGTTTCGTGAACTTAAAACATTCCTTGCCTGAAGGGGTTGCTCTCGCCCGCGGGTCTCTGCTCGACGTTAGGAGGAGGAGGAGGAGGTCTCCTGAATGGATTGGCGTCCATCTGACCTCCTCCCTGGGGTTCCTGCCCGTAGGATCTCTGCTGAGCGTAACCCTGAGCGGGCTGCTGACCGTAATTGGCCGGTTGCTCGTACATCGGCGGTTGCTCGTATCCTCCTGCCGCCTGATTGTATCCCGGTGCATTAATATTCTGCCCGTATCCAGGCTGCTCGTAGCTCTGGCCGCCTTGGTAATTCTGCTCGTAACCTTGATCCACGTTCGTCTCCATGCGAGTCTGGTTCAGGTGATTGCCGATTTCACCGGAGAGCGTCCTCTGCTCTTGGAGCACGTACGTCTGGTACTCCTTGTCGGGCGGGTCCTGCATCAGGACGTCCGCTTCGTCCTGGAACGGCTTGAAGTCGTAGATGTGCTTCAGGTACATTAGCACGGGCGCGTAGAGCAGATTCGAGAACGCTATGCCGATATTCAGAGCGGTGAAGCCGATCGCCTCGACGACGCCGCCGGCTATTATGGGCCCCACCGCGTACGCCAAGCTGTACGAGATATCGGCGATGGCGTAGATACTGCCGTAGACGGACACGTATCTGACGTCCACCAGGTAGCCCAAAGTGGGCAGCAGGGCGGTGTCGATGAGAGCTATGCCGAAGCAGATCCCGCATAGCGGGATCATGAGAACTTTGTAAGAAGTGCAAAACGGTATCATGAAGCAACACAGGCCTTCCAACGCGAGACCGCCGGCGGCCATCAACCACTGATGCTGGGGATACTGCTTGGCCATCTTGACGGTGATCATCACGCCGAACACGTGAGGGAAGAACGCCGGCAGCCATATCATTCCCATTTTCCAATTATCCCGAGTTATGTGGTCTTCCATCCACAACGAGATGGTGGGCTCCAGAAAGGCGAGCGCGACGTTCGACATCATCAAGGCACCGGCGCACACGGCGATGTACGGGTCCATCAGCAGTCGCCAGATAGGTATCGACGGCGCTTGGTCCTCGTGCTTCATCTGCAGCTGTTCCTTCAGCGGTTTCATCACCAGCAGAAGCATGAATCCGTCGGCGAGACTGATGAAAGCGAGTATCAGAAAGGGTACCTCTTTGCCGGCGAACTGATACAGAGCGCCGCCGAACGGCGGAGCCACCAAGCACCCGAAACTAATGAAAGCTAACGCGATACCGAGAGCTTTCGAGCGCTCCGACTCCTCCGTGTAACGATCCGCTATCATGGCCAAGCCGCTGGTGTCCGCGAACGCGGAGCCCACTCCTTGAAGGCTCCTAGCGAAGAACAAGACACCGTAACTCCTGCCGCAAGCAAAAACGGCGGTCGACAAGAACATTATGGACAGTCCTATCATCATCGGCAGATCGTAACCGATTCTGTCTATCAGGGCGCCCGAGAACGGGTTCACCATCAGCTGAACGATGGCTTTCGACGCGAACAACACCCCCGTCGCTGAATCTTGACCGTGATGAACGGGCGGCCCGGTCGCGTTCGCATCCTGTCCTTCGTCCTCGCCGAACGCGCCGATGTACTTGAGGTAATCGGGTATGATCGGCACTATCACCATGTAGAGCATGTTGTCGAGCAGCAACGCTATCGAGACGATCACTAGAACTAGCTTGCGTTGAGCCTTCGGCTCCTGCAGCTTCATCCAGACAAGCTCCTTGAGCTCGCCGAGCTCGATGTTGAGTATCGGTATCGTCGTCGACATCGTGGTCGCTTTAGGTAGCCGCCTTTAATAGAACAGGATCGTCTTCCAGGGTTTTAATAAGAGGAACTAAACGCGATCACTTCGTGCGACCTTGGGAGCGACCGTGACGAAGAGATCGTCGCGATTGGGGCGGCGCGCATCAGGCCGGGCCGGGGATAACCTACAACAAATCACCGAGTTGGCACGGTTAGCTCCCGAAATCCTGCATTTTTCCTTTTTTTTTTTTGGTTTTTTTTTGTTTTTGTTTTTTAATTCTCCTTCTTTTGCCCGACCGGTAGCTTCCGTTTTTTCCCCTGGATCCGATTTACCAGGTCGAAAATTTCTCGTTACGGGTAATGCTTCGCACCGCGGGCCAATGAAAGATTCTCGGACGAGTTCGAAAGAAAGGGGAGCCCTGACCCGGCCTGATCGGCGCTTACCGATTCCGTTCACCACCCCAACGCGACCTTTTGCTAGCGTCGACGGCGCGGTCGAGCTCGTCCACGTTCGTTGAAGGTTTTTTTTTTATTTTTTTTTTGCACTGCGTCTACCAACAACGCACCGTGTCGCTGATTCCTCGGTTGCTTCTGATGGGTATAGAAGTGAATACAACACCGGGTGGAGGCTCCCCCTCGATAAGGTGTCACGATCGGTACCTAGCTACCTATGGCTTGTATTGCGCATCGTGTTACGAGAGATAAAAAACACGGTATTCTTGACGATGAAACGAGGGTGAAGGTCGAATTGTTCGACGTTATGGCTTTATAATGCGGCTCTATAAATACGGTTCCTGGTAATTGTTCGATGAATTCTCGCTCGACTAAAAGGAGAGTGCGAGGCCTTCGGGTCACCGATTCGGTCGAAACTTTGCGTACTGGGAGATTTACTTGGGAGATTTTGATTTTCTGTTTTCTGAAATGATAGGGGTAGGAACTCGATACTTGTTTTGGATATTTATGGTCGATATTTAATTATTACGTTGGAATATGGTTTCGTAAAAATAATTTCAAGGATACTGTGTATACGTTTTATGAAATTAATTATATTTCACATTCGAAAACGCGTACTGAATTCTAAATGAACTTTAAATGAAATATTTGTACTCGATGAAACTTTATTTATCGCGTATTCGAAGCCTGAAGTCAATACGATTAAAATCAGCGTAATAACCCGAAACTGTGTTCCAAGGAGCAAAGAAATTTCGTTCAAACGTTCAAAGTTTTGCTAAATTTTGTATTCGAACAAATTAAATTTGAAGAACAGAACCGCCACAACTTGCAACATTAGCCAACGTGTATTAAGTTGAAGATGCTGATAAACGTCGTGTCTCGCTCGCTACATTAAATGATGTACCTCGGTCGAAGCAGAACGGATTAATTATTTGCGTGAAACGATCATTCGTAAACTGACGTCCCTCGTAACGTTGTTCGGTACGTGTCGACACCCTCGTTTATTAATTAAGGCGACTGGTGGGCGTGCGGGGGACCGTAACTTCGTCAACGATCGTAACGAGCCTCCATAGACGCGTAGATTTTCCACGGCCGAGGGGAACGCCGTGGACCGAAGAAAATTCGTCAACTTACCGGAGTTATTGGCGAACTTCTGCCTGAGGGAGTTGGCGAGGCGTTGGGGACCCGCCAAAGCTGGAAGTCCGGAGAACAAGTTACTCAGAGTTGTGCCAACGTCCGGTCCGTCCTCGTCCTTCGAGTCGTTCAACGACTCCTTGGCTCCCCGCGTCCCTGGGCCCTCCACCTTTTCAGTCAAAGTCAAAACCGAGCCTGAAACAAACACGCGGACGTCCCATTTTTCAAAAACACGAATTGCAATTGTTATGGTGGCATTGAAATGTTGTGGGTCAGAGTGTAAGGAGACTTTGTGAAAAGGAGTGTTGAGACAGCGCGTTATGCACTAACTAAATCGTAAGCGTTGCTACGCTTATGGCAAGTGAAAATATGAGAAAATGTAGGAGAATGTGCAGAAGTGAAAAAATATACAAGAAGGTAGTGATAAATTACATATACTGTGGAGGGAGTACGACTTTTATTTAAATATTAATTTTTCGGTTGAATCTGTAAAAATATGAATTTGCATGAACATAGGCAGTCTAACAATACCGACACGTTAACCCTTAAATGGACAATGTTATTTTTAAACAACATACTGAACATCACAGATAAAATTGACCTTCTTTTATTTTTTTGTAATTTTGACAACTAGGAAAAAAGAAAAAAAAATCGTCCATTTAAGGGTTAAGGGACCTTCAATAACAGTTACATGAAGCTCACGAGGACGGAAATAGAATTGAACATGCATACCTAATGAAGAAAAATTCATAAGAAAGAGCTGCGATTTTAAGGATCTAACATATTTTAGTGAAATGCGGACAGTTCGATGAAGTAAATTAACCAAGGGTCGTCCAACGACTGAATGACGTCGATTGACTTAACGAAATTCGAATAATTTTGTGTAACTTCACTGTCTAAATATCTTCCACGTCAATCTGAAGGATTTATTACAAATCAAATGATGAAGCTATATGTTATGTAAATAGAAATAGGGGTACTGCATGACTATCGCCACTAATAAATAAATCAAAGACTATCCAATGACTGCCCGATGACCTCAAATCGAGAACAAATACATTAGTATTTTTTTTTAAAAAAAACAGGAATAGTCTTACACAACTTCATCGAATAAACTTCTTATCCTTAATTTGAAATATCTGTTACGACTCAAATTACAAAGCTACATGTATATAAATATAAATACACTACACGACTTTGACCATTAATTCTTGGATGCCTGATTTTCCCAATTAAATTTAAAAAAGTATCAATGTAGTTATTATTTGAACAATTTTCACAGCTAAAGTTTATTTTTTCAACTTTTGTTCGAAATAACATTGTGCAATGGTAACATACATACAGCCAAATATTAAAAGCAAACCAATTGCGAGTGCAACAAACCAATTACAATTCGATTCAAAAGTCCGGTATCAAATTTGAAACTTAGGGTGATTAAGGGCTGATACCCCAAGCGAGGTTAATCGAATGCAGAAGGTACGAAGAGGTAAGGGGAGTATTAAATCAACCAAGGACCAACCAACGACAATCTGACAACTTCGAATCGTGAAAAATTATTAAAAATACATTAGAATTTTTGATAAAAAATAATAGAAATACTCAATCTCACACAACTTCGTCGAATAAACTTCTTATCATTAATTCGAAGTATCTGTTCAGTCAGCGACTGAAATTACAAAGCTACGTGTTATATAAACGTAAATTTAAAAAGCTACACGACTGTGGTCACTAATACCTCAAGTGAGGTTAATCGAATGCAGAAGGTAAGAAGAGCTAAGGAGAATATTAAATCAACCAAGGGCCATCCAACGACTGCCCGATGACGTCAAATGGCGAAAAAATACGTTGGCGTTCCTGAGAGAAAAAGGAATAATGAATCTTATATAACCGCACTGACTGAACGTTTTACCCTAAATCTTAAGAATACGCTGTCGAATAAATAACAGGTCAAATCACTGTGTATAAATAGTACGATCGTCAATATTCCAAGGAAGCATGCGACTTGAAACAAAAGAAACAAACAAAATTCAATACATCGATCATTATTATGTTCTCGGTTACGTAGATTACGCAGAAAAAAATGGCTCGCAATTCCACGGAGAAGTAATCAAAGAATTGTCGGTCCTTAGCGTATTCCCCCTCGGCCTATCGATAATAATCACATTTTTGTTCATTCCTTCTTCGATACCGACACAATTTTCCCTAACCTACCTATTATCTTATGCACGCGTTACCAGTGAACAATCTATACTTAGAATTTATACAGCTATCTATAACATCCGGTGCCTTCTTTACTTTCCGTTTGAAGAACACTGGACATTACACATGTGCGTGTCTTCCCAAGGTAATTCCCCATAGCCTACCAGGCTGCGGTACGGTTATTTGGTGGCCACGTATTATTTACATTAATTTCAATCCAACAATGCAACTCGCAGCAATCGAAACGGTTTAACTTTTGAATTATAGTTGTATCGCGACGCAAAGATTTCTCCGGTTAAACGAAAGAGTCAGCCACTGGAAACAGCTCGGCGTTCAAACTCTACGCGTCTACGTTGCAGCATAATATGTTATGTAACGTTCGGTCCCTTCCGTTTCGATTAAACGAAACTGCATCAACGCGAGAGGAACAAGGTCCTTTAAGAACCACGTCGTTTCACTCGAAGCATGAAAAGTCGCTCGACCATTCATGAACACGGTCGCCTCGAACATAGACACCGTCACTCGAAAGGAACAGGGCACCGGGGGGACAATTGGGTGCACTGAAAAATTCACGTATCCGATGAATTAGGAAACAGTTTCGCGGGCGTAATGTCTGCTCGATGGGGAACGATCGAAAAGAAATCGATGGCCTCGTAAACGATTGATACCATCGATGATACCGCGAACCTCTAGAGCGAGCTACCGGCGATCTCGACACCGCCGATCGAAGGTCATGGTGGAAAGAATTCGAGGTACGTTCGTTGATAATGCCAGGGTTAGAAGGAAAGGGTGAAAGGCGAGCGGCTGCGTGCAAGAAGAGTACGTACGTGCGAATAGAGAGAGTCATTCGGAATACTTACTGAGACCGAAGGGCTCCCGATGACAGGGGCGTCTCGGTGTGTCTCTTCGTTGGGCTGGCTTTGAAACGTCTGCCCTCGAAGTCCTCCCCGCCACCGTGTTGTACGTTACCCCCTTTCCATCCCCATGAACCCTGCGACCGGGGAGGAAAATCGCGACAGGGCGCAGCCGCGGTTTCCAGGATCCAGGGATTGGCCGCGGCACCGAGGCCGTGCGTCAGCCCCCAAACCCTCCACCGTCGTACCAACTATCTGCATCCCCCGCTGCCCGCTTCTCGCCCCTCGTGCCGCCCCGCCGGGGGTGGCACGGCCCCGGGGGAAGAGGAAACACAACCAGGTATAACAACGACGGTCGATGCTGCGCGGTATTTCTGGCGGCAGGTCGATATGAGCCTCACCTGTACGACTGTGGGCTGCTGACTGCGCCGAGAAAAAGGGGTTCTCGACCGTGGCGAACGCGTTGCCCAGTGTTCTTCAACTAAGCTGGCTTCGACGTTACCTGCCGCTTTTATCTCGCTATTCTTGAGCTGGTTATAGAGTCCAGGTACGATCATACCCTAACTATGTCCTAGGTTTACCTGTTTTCTCACTCTCCAAGCATCGCGTATGACCGCCATTAATATTCGGAGTACGCGGTAGGTCGTACGTTATTGTTTCGTACACACTGGCGGAGTGAACCTATAGCACCAGAGATGGGCAAAAAACCCTAGGCTTCCAATAAATCTGAAGTTTGCCGATGTGTTTGTCTCGTTTCTTTCTCTGGAAAATGTTCAAAAGCCCATCACTGTATAGCACCAACTATATTTTTAAATATTAGGTTGTCCCAAAAGCCCATCACTGTATAGCACCAACTATATTTTTAAATATTAGGTTGTCCCAAAAGTTCCTTTCATTTTATTGATAAGTACAGGAGAGACGCCCGTATCCGTACCCCGATTATCCGAATTCCTTAACACTTTACATAGTAAAAATGGACAACGTATTTTACAGATTACAATTACAGATTACACGATGTGCTTAATTAATTGCAAATGCATGGTTGAAATCAATGCAGCAAAATGGAAATACGCTAGATTTACTTCGTTAAGTGGTTCAGTTTATTTTTAAACGCGCGATGAAACTGACTCGTTAGAATATTTTGATTAACCATTTCTAATTAAGAAACAGAATTTAAGTTTCTCGGTTAATCTCAAACATCGTTGACTTTGAATAGAATTAAAGTTATTGCAACAAAAGCTAAATTATTCATAAAGTAACACTTTATCTACCGGAAGTCTATTTATTGGTATTTTAATTCTAATCCTGACCTCCTGGAATATCCTAACTGTTGGTTGCCTACGTACGATTTAATTTTGGAAAATGGTCAAAGCTATTGATATATATTTCAATAGTATGGACATGTTAATATTAGCCTTCGTTAATATGTATTAATGTAGGATGTCTTCTTCTAATTCGTGGATTCTTTCTAAATCTAGCGGTGAAGGATTAAAATTGGAGTATAAAGAATTTATAGAATCACTAATCTAAATTTATTTTATGGTTTCTAAAATCTGTCTCTCTTCGTTTCCGTTCGATCCGTTTATAATCTCTAGAATAACCTCCAGAATAACCTGAACCAAAGAATCATTGATCAATTCGGTTCAGAGCTGATTGGCTGGATTCGCGAGTGGAAGGGAGAATTGAATAGCCAGTAGAGGCTATTTTAACTTCTCGAGTAACTTAAATCAATATTGACTACCAGAATTAATTAATAATATCGTAGGGCCTGGGCACGAATTTGGCGGTGTTCTGATTTTCTGCAATTAGAAATGTAGCATTGGAAACTATTGGTGTTCGATTTAGTCCCCAATTAGTTTTAATGCGTACAATTATTCTATCCAGAACTTGTACTTTATTGCTTGATTAAAGAATGTCGATCAAAATTTATTTTACACTTCTTACTATTTATTATAATCATTCTGAATACTTAAATTATAGATAGTTGAGTCTTTAATTTTTTTGTTATTTAATTTATAAATACAACTATTAAGAACTATATTTATAAATATAATTATTAATATTAAATTATAAAATTAATGTAGTATCAGTGGTTTGTCCTGTAATTAATTAATTCAGTAGTGAGAAACGATAAAAAAATCGTGATTCTTTTAAGAAAAATATTTCTTCTGTGATTACTGCGACAGTTTAAACAAGGTTGAATTACATTTTCTTTCAATATTCTGGAAATACATTTAATAATTTGATAGAGAAGAGTGTAAAGTAACAATTGCAATGCAGATTAAGGCATTAATAGATGTACAATTTTTGAGTATTTTATTATTTGATTTTTATGATTTTAATATTCTATTCAATTCTATATTACAATTTGAAATTTCACTTAAATGGAAGGTGTACCTACTTTTATCAAATTTCTGACATAACACGACAGATACTACGTGCACTCAAGTAATAAATGTATTCATTTCTAATTATCTTTCTTTTAAATACAGTAATAAACAAAATAAAATTCCATTTGATATCTATGAGTTAATAAATGAAAAATGGAAATGTTGGAACAAAAATTGTTACCTAGGACAATTAATATTATAGAAAAATAAACGATTAGGCAATTCTTTAATTCTATTTCACATATACAACATAATATTCATGAAAATATTAAGCTCCAGAGAATGTTTTGCATATTTTGCAAATATTTTTATATAAATTCCAATATGAATTGATTATGTGATTTTACATCATGAGGAAGTTGGAATAATCTTCTTCAGATTTCAATAAAAGGTAACTCCATCTTATCTTATCATTTGAACGAATTCTTGAGATTTTTCATTCGGAAATTCCGAGTTGAAAGCTCTAATACGAGCAATGTTATGAAATGAATAGAAGCATATTTCCGAGTTGGGTGAACGGATGCGGCCTTCGAGGAGACTCGTTCCGCCACACACCACCCTGCGCTCATTCGTTGAAGTTTCCAGTATTGGGAAACCGTAGTTGATCTCTCTGGAGAGTTCCCGTTGGAGGAATTTATGTGTCCATCGTCGCTCTCCAAATATAATACATTTTTTCATATTTTGCGAGTGGTAAAAACTTCGCGGTGAACATCTATTCCTTCTCTTACTTTTTATCAAAAGACGTTTGAAAATGCGAGATGGTACCTATGTTACAAATGAGCAAAATTAAACCGTAAATTCTTACTTGCACAATTTCTATAAATAAACAAATGATCAAGAATGAAACATTTTAGAGGAAAAAAATTATTTTCTATTCAACTACCGTCAATATCAAAACAATTTTTTGGATGTTTATTAAGTACGTACTAAAATATTTTTCAGAATCTATAGTATATATAATAATCTACGAATAAATAATCTCTAAAGTCCATCTAAATTGTATAATTTTTCATTGTGTTTCGGCCACATTGGATCCACCGTGTTGAATTTTTAAATTGAATTCTAAGTAGTGAAAGTAATTGGTATAGTTTATTCTGTATTCGTCTGTGATCATCCACTATCCTAATTGGACGATACTTCGTCACTGATGATATTTATAAGTTAAAAGACCAAATTAACAATGCATGTAGTCGATACAAACACGGTTATTTAGAGTAAATAGGCAACAGATAAATGAAGGATTAAACAATTTCGTGATTCTATCTCAGACATTCAACGACGTATTTATGAAAATATTAAAATCCATACAATGTATTAATTTTGTAGATTATAGGATATATTTTGTATCGATCTTACTATAATCTAGTTATGTGATTTTTTTCAGATTTTGATGCAAAGTAACTCAAGACGAAAAAACAAACCTTGATAATTGAGCACCGTTATATAACTCACCTTATTTGCTGTAGATAATATTTTAACTTAATATACATCGCATAATAAAAAATCCTTATTGGTGCCATGGGCGAACCATGTAAAATGCGCGCGGCAGTCAACGTGTTAAACCAATCAAAAATTTTATTCTACGTCATATCTAGTTAAGATATATTCGACTAAAACTGAGAGACCAAAAACGCTGTCTCTTCTAAGATCCTAAAAATATTCAGCGACACCACCGATTCCTAGACAAAGTCGTTTATCTTTCACAGAATTCGCATGTCGCGTTCACAAGTAGCGAGATGTTAACAACGTTCTCTTCTTCGCATCGGCCCAATTACACAACGTGGATGTTGCCGGCTCAGAATGCGTTCCGTCTGCATTCGGCGCGGAATTTCTCACATTAGTCGATCTGCGTACAGCCACGAGCCTTATGACGCGTACCGAGCGACGTCTAAGATCTTTGGCCGATCTTCCTATTAAGCCTCCCGGTTACAGCGAACGGGATGGCTCGTTCGTCTGACAGCTCTACTTTTTTTCTTTTCTGGATAAAAACAAGCTGGGATCGGCAGTCACGATTCGCGGCCCGCTACGTGAGAACGCGAAAAGGATATATACTTACACGCGTGAATCGGTATTACTAAATGCAATCTTTCCAGGTGCAATCTTGTACGGCGGTTGCAACGACGATCGTCGTAGCGATTTCAGCTGCGAAGATAGCGTAACGAAACGTATTTTTGAAGGAAGATGATGTACAAAGTGGTTGGGAAATCACCTGCATTGGTTCGTACAGAAGGATTAATCAAACATTGACATTCATAAATGTAGCGCGCAATGAACAGTTGAATTATCGAGAATGTGAACATGTTTAACCCTTTCACGGGTGAGCATTTTTTGGAAATGCACACGGTTCACGAGTGAGCTTTGTTTGAAAAGATAAGAAACATTTTTTATTGATATATAAACATGTATAAATTGCGGAAAAATGAAGAAAAGATATGTTTAATTAAAGAAACAAATAGAACAAAAATTCGGCCCATGATGGGACTTGCGAAAAAAATGAAAAATGTCGAAATTCGAAAAATTTATGTTTTTAAGATTTGTATTAATTTTTTTCGTAAAGTTCATTCAAAAACGCACATTTTGACAAAAAAAAAACAATTTGGTCAATTTTAGATACTTGTTTGACACTTTTTTTCTCTCACAATCACAAATCACAATCACAAATCGGGTCGCGAATGAAAAAAGTTTAAGAAGCACAGCTCTAAGGGATTAGGTAACAAGAAGCTTCAACGTGTTCCTGTAACCTATTTTGGCGAACTGGTAGATGTTCAGTCCGATATAATCCTCCTGATACATGAGAGCGATTGGAAACGCCGACTTGAAACATG